TACCAATTCTTCTGCATGTTTCCTGAAGGCGAGAGATATTTATTTTGTCAAATGCTTTGGACATATCTTGAAATAGGTATTTTTCTCTTCATGTTTTCACTTTTTACTATCTTTAACACGTGTTAAACATTTGGAACAAGGTTTTTTTCCTTGAAATTCTTCTGATGTTTTATAATTTCGGCACGATTTGCAATATAAAGAATCCATAATGAATGATAATTTTTGAAAAAATTTTTATTAAAAAAAAAAGAACAATAAAAATTGTATAATATATAGTATATGAAATAATTACGCAATTATCTGTTCTACAAAATAAAACCATCGGAATTCATTTAATTAAAATAATTGAAACACCGAACGTAACTGATCTTTGGGCGATGCTTGGTTCGTGTCAACATTATTTCAAGTTGAGTTTAGAAATTCATAGCCAATGAAATTTGTCAAATGAATGGAAAATTTTCGACCGCTTAAAACTACGCCGGAATCATATCTTAATCAACCGGAAATTCCGGTATTTTACACCGATACCTGAATGTGTAAAAAGAACAGCAGTACAACGTGAGACAATATCTGCATTAGAAATTGTGTCCTCAAACAATTTGCTCATACGTATATAAAGCAGTAATTTACGTTATCGTTATGCAAATTATTAAATATTTAAAAAAAAATTAAAAATGACGAATCCTAAGAATCCTAAAGAGAACGATCCTAATTCGAATTATTTATTAAATCGGTTTATAAGAAATTATTTATTATGTCTTTTCGTATTACTAGTTTTAATAAGCTATATATGTTGGGATAATAATGAGGTAATATATTATCTTTATTTTTTTATTTTTTTTTTCTTCGATTAAAGTATTTAATAAAAATATTATTTAAATACAATTTGGACATTTAAAGGATTCCATTACTGAAATAAAAATCGAAATTAAAAAAGATAATGAGAATGAGAAACTAATCAAATTTGATAAATCTTATTATAATGATAATAATAATAATAATAATAATAATAATATTAATAATATTAATAATTATAATAATGATTATAATAAAGATAATCAAGCATTAGAGGAGGAGGTCAAATTTCTTTTTGTATATGATTATCCAGTATCTGAAGGATTAGCTATTCAACATATGAATTCATTTATTAAACTTGCACAAGCCCTAGATCGCATTTTTGTACTTCCAAATGTTGGGGAATCTCATATTGGATCATGCCAAACGTTACCATTCAATATTTATTATTCCATAGATTTTCTTAGACAAAAATACCCGAAAGTGACATTCATCACTCAAATGGAATTAATTGAATGGTCTAGATCACAATCAGAATATACAAAAGTTCACCATGCGTATATTGAAAAAGGAGGGATTAATACTTTCGTGGAAATCGACAATATAGATTATAAATCATACAATACAACATGTCTATATAAACAACTTTTAATAAATTATAATATGACGAGTTATCAGAAATTCCATATGGGAAAAGGGTTCTGGAAGCTTGATATAATACGAGAAAAATTTACGAAAATTTTGATCGATAACCTACAAACCGAAGCGCAAATAATGCTTATGAGTTATAATATGTATCTAGACTTTTTCCCAGAAGAAATATCTTATTCAATTTATTCAAAAGACATTTTAGTTGAAGCGGATAGGATTATTAATAAATTACAACCATTTATTGCAATATATTTGAATGTTGAATTTAACAAATCAACTCAATTAGAATCATGTGCAAGACATTTAGTTGAAGCTTTAAAGAAATTTGAACACGTTTTTAAAATTAAAAATATTTATTTCACCACCATCAATAAAGGAACATCTATATATGATATATTAATCGAGCATCAACAAGACATGATGAAAACATTAAATCAAAAGATGTCATTCAATAATTTGATTTCGATGGAATCTTTTAATAAGAATTTAACAGATGCTGAAAATTTACAAGATTTCGATTATGTCAATTTCATTGAAGACATTAAAGAATTTGAAGGAACAGGGATTTATGAAATATTGGATAAATTGGTATCTATTAATGCAGATTATTTTCTAGCTGATCTTTCAGGATGTCCATCAATAGCGGACAGCTTTAGGGATCATGTAGTAAAAGCCAGAAAAACTATGATTTTTAATGAAGGAAATCAAAAATTAAAGAATGGTATTATTCTTTAAATTGAAGAGTGCATTGAGAAAAAAAATCATTAGATTTGTAATATTTTCAGTGTTGCAGAGTTAATATGTAATTATAAGGTTGTAATTTTATTTGTGAGGTAAATTTATATTGCGCAAATTGAGAAAACTAAATTCTTATTATAGTTAAGGGCTTTTTTTTTGTATATGTAGGATAAGAATGAGGAACGTTCGAGCGATATCATAAGCAAGTGTTCTTTATTTTCCTTCTACATACATAGACTTATAAATATATCGACAAACACGAATCTAATAAAAAAAATAGTGAAAAATAAAATAATTCACATAAAACCCTGAATATTTGGATTTTATTTAATGTTTACCGAAAGAATACATCTATTGTGAATATTAATATAGATCGTTTTTAATAAAAATTCATGTGAATAAATTTTGATCAAATTTTTATAAGACTAGAAAACATGAGTTATTATCAGTTATAATACCTCAATATAATTTTTAGAATATATAACTTCAAATCTTCAAATAACTACTCATCGTGGAATTTACCCTAGATTATTGACCTTTTTTTTCAAAACTTTAAGTGAAGATATCTTAACATCCATGCAAACAAATTTGATAAACTTCTATTTATTTGATTCTACGAATTTAAAGAATTCAAACAAAAAAGAAAAAGTTCATCGAAATTGGTTCGAAGCTGTTGAGATATCTTCGCTCAAAGTTTTGTCTCAACAATTTAATTCCTTGCGTAACCTACGGCTGGCTTAGTCGAAAAGAGACGTTTAGATTTTGTCGGTGGTTTGGGTTCCGTCGGTAGGTATCTCTATTATCCAGGTAATTTCTATTCTTTCTTTAACCTCAGCTATACCAAACTACTTCGGGTAAGCTGGACTTATTAACCACAGTTGTACCTAGTACGTCAGGTTAGCAATTGGACAGGGTATCGAATTAACGAGAGTCACATGAGCAAAGGGTTTAACGAAAGACAAGGTTTATCGCTTATGCCACTTAGCAATAAACTCGGGTTAGGGTAGTTTAGCGTGTGTATT